GGTGTACTCAAGGATCCGAAGTAATTGGTATACAAAAACCGTAGTCTCTAAGGCCTCGAGTATTGTGAAGTAACTGGCGTCGTCAGGACTACGATAATTGTATAAAACCGGTGTTTCAGGCCTCATATTGTGAAGTAATGGCATATCAGTCTCCATATTTTATATAAAACCGGTGTTTCAGGCCTCATATTGTGAAGTAATGGCATATCAGTATCCATATTTTATATAAAAGCGGTGTTTCAGGCCCCATATTGTGAAGTAATGGCGTATCAGTCTGCACATTTTATATAAAAGCGGTGTTTCAGGCCCCATATTATGAAGTAATGGCATCTCAGGCTTCATGTCTCATGGATCATACTGAATAATACTCCGCTCTCGTGATTTATCTTACAGGGTAGCCTCCTTATTTACAGAATGTTTTTCCCTGGCTTTCCAGAAAAAAAAAATCCATATTTTCCAGACCTGACCATGCGCGCATACGACACAATGACATTTTGATTTTTTTTTCTCATAATTCTACCTAATTTACACTACTATAGCCATAATCTAATAATAATAACGTTGGGCTACGATACTACAGGAAACCATCTTAAAATAGGGACTTTACAATGTAATAGTAGAAAATAAAATGTAACATTTTCATTTACAAAAGATTATTTGATCTAACTTACCATAACGTGTAACGCATTACATAATTATTACAGATAAAATAAAAAATATGTAACGGACCTAGAATATGTTCAAATATACCAGCAATTAACATAGCTAAGTGGCATGATTTGAAGGTTCTGAGATAAAATAAAGGGCATTATACAAAAATGTTCACATCCTTTTCAGGTTTTGAGATACTTTTTTGTTAATTTGACTGACTTCTTTACACTCCTTTTGTTCAACTTTTCCATGTTTCCCAAGTTCGTGGCCACCTTAGCTTATTTCGGAACTCCTTCTTAATAACTACATAAATCGTTCGATAAGTTCATTTGAAATTATAATTAGCCTTACGAGTTATCCTTTACTACTAACAACGTGCCCACATATCTGACTTCGATTTTCACCATTTTCATTTACATGTGCATGGAGCGTTGCAGTTTGGTTGTTAACTAAATGTACCCCACCATCTTTTTTGTAATGATATTTAAGTGAATTATAAACCATTAAAAAAATTATAGACCGAAAGAAATTTACTATTTCAAAATAAACGTCTGTAATAAAAAGAATAAGCAAATCTTTCTATATGCATAAGCTCTTATATAAGGTATTACTTGAATATTTGTTCGTAACCAAA